AGTTGAGACGTTATCTGTAGCGAAACACTTATCCTTTCATTTGAAGAGTAGAATAGTTGTTACTCTATTGAAATTGAAACTATTGCCTCATGTATCATGGTAGGTAGGGACAAACATGTTTTTAATTCTATGAGGTACGAGCTTCTTCTCGGATCTACGCTACAAGAAAATGGAAAGGGTTAAGTGATTTTAAGCTATTGCATAGCTTTTATCGCGGGCCTTGAGCGCGGCGACCAAATCATGAAATTCCGTAACGAAAAAAACCGTACACCCCTCATTCCGCCTACTATGTAGCTCGCGTTCAACACATTCACACGTTGCGCTTGTGTAGTGTTTGTGAATAAGCGCGTGGCGTGACGTCACACTGCATGCGCATCCTGAAAAGTCTGTCCATCTCTCTCTCATCCCTTCACACTCTCTTATGAGTGTGAAGGGGACAGTTAAAGGTTTTGCTTAATGTTTAATATAGCGTGGTCTTGTTTTATTATTGTTTTAATATTAAATTATCATTGTCTAATTGTAATTGCATAAGTTGATAAAAAATGCTATGCAATAGCTTTACCGCGGCAGTTCCCGAGTGCCACACGTTTTTTTTAATTTGGTTAAGGAATGAATTATCCGAAAACACTGTGACATTTTCGTTTATTATAATCTAGTTCACTATGCAATCCCGAGAGCGGTAACCGCTTTAGCTTGTCTGATGACTTAATTAATGACCTACCGTGTCTCCGATAATTAAACAGCTCAGGCAAATTGGAAGTTCACGCTGAAGCCGCTTCTGTCAGATTGAAAACAAAATGCAATTTCGTGAAATCCATCCGTAAGGTTGATGTAAAGTATTTAATTACATTTAAATTGTTTAATGTGTAGCTAACCGTTTGGGTTAAATTCATTTCAATAGAATTAAATTTAAAACTTAATACACGCTTGACAAGAACTCCATTTGGCTTAAAATGAGAGTACTTAAACGAATGAACAACAAACGAAAAAGAATAAAATTTTAGTATCTGTTTTTAAATATTAATAAATAAATAAACCCTTAATCCGAATATTCAGTCGGGTGAGAAGGATAGAGTGAAGAGACACTTTAGTTACAATGCAGACAAATCGATAGAAATTTGAGCTAAGTTCGATGAGACAACGCACGATCGTATTGTCGAATATTATTATATATTTGCGTATCAATGATTAGGTCAAATCTTTTTATACTCGTATTATGTTAGATTATAAATTAAATGCCTAAAATTTAAAGCTTAATAATTTACTACCGTAATTAAAGCTAAAGTAGTAAAGTAGGTAGCATCGACCAAAGCATCAGCATAATAGAAGTCGTGGCGGTGAAGAAATATTTTAACAACTAACTGCAACGTCGAGGACCTTCTGTTTAACGAGGTAATTGAGCGTGCAGCGAACACGGCTCTCTCGCTTCCATTCTCATTTGCGTACAGCGAATTCGAGTTTACTCACCAAAAACATTTTCTTAAATTAGATAACATTTGTGATTGCGAGTGACACGCTGTTTGCAGGTTAACGAGCTCTTGTAAATTTAAAATAAACAAAGCTCAATGATAAATTTATAGTGCTCCACAGTTAATAACATAATTTTAATAACGAACCATATTTTTTAGGTAATTAGTATTTTAATATAGCTTCAAACAACGGGAACAGAAATCCTGGTTAAATACACATAGCACTAAATCATATTACATCGAAAAATAATGATAACACGAAAATACGAAATAGATTAAATATTTTGATATTAAAGTAATTTATTATTCAATTAAGTGCTCAGACAACAGTTCCCTGAGAGAAAACCCGAGACATTAAATAGCTGACAGATTTAGAAGTGACGTCCAAGATAAGCAGTAACCTAGAGGTAATTAAATAATAAGTTAATCCAACTATACGTTGACGTAAATCCTGAGAAATAAATGATCAGCTTTAAAACTATATTAATGTTAAAAACTAGCCTTTGTAAAAAGAACTGATCCGTTGTTTATATTAAATAATTATCAATCGATCGATGAAAGCAAAGCTCAATAATAAATTCATCATTAAACCAAGTGCACGTTCTCATAACGATAGTTATATAGTAATAAATCATGTGTCTAGTTTAATTGGATACAGTAAAGTAAACAGTTTGTGTTGATTTTGCTTCGATTGCCTATTAATGATGCTTCCAATTAAACTTAAACGGTATCAATGTTGTACTGTTATAAATTAGTACGTTGAACGTAACGCGATTACATTAAATGATCGAGGTTGATCGGTAGCGCTGACTGGTCATCGTTTTGCGCCCTGCCGAGTTGTTGTCCGATCCTAATTGTTTAATGATGTTTTTGTGTATAAATTTTGAATTTACTGAACGGTTTATTCATCAATGTGATAATTAATGCACCGTCTAAAGCGAGGCCAACATACATTTTAGATAATATCTTAATTTATGCACCAGAATATTTTAACAGATTTGCTTACGTTTTAACTATGATATTGCATTAAGATATTATTATAAAGAAACAAACGATAATAATGCTGCCATGTTTAGAAAAATATATATTAAAGATTTAAAAAAGAAAAAACAAGTATGTGGTAAAATTAAGCCGATTTTACCCTCAGGGACGAATGCTCTTAGAAATATATCTCGCACAATTTCTGTGAATCCACGATAACTTTTTTATGAGACTGAAATGAATTGTATAAAATCTTTTGTGGCAGTCACATAAAGTTCTCGAGAGAATTTTGCTTTCGTCGCAGTTCAGAAGTGATTTGTTCCGTAGAAAATGGAGTTGGCTTTTCGTTTTGACTTTTATTAACCGCTCATAACGAAGAGAAAAAGTAAGTGCTTGTAAGTTTGCGTTACTAAATAAGTTTTATAGCACGCGTTGCATTCTCAAATAAAATGGACGACGCACATTTAAAATTAATTGTAATAAGTAAATAAATGCTTAATAGAATTCCCTAATTTATCGCCTAAATATAAACGTTTTTATTTTGCGTGGTAATCGTGTTTGTATGTAAATTAACTAAGCAGTATTTGAGACTTGATGCATACACAGTGTTCAAATAAACAAAAAATACCTTACGATTTTCTGAATGCCGATTTGAATAAAGCTTTTTTTTTATTGGCCGTGTAGGCAGACGAGCATACGACCCAACTGATGGTGAGTGGTTACCGTCGCTCGTCGATATCAAAAATGCCAGGGGCAGAACCAAGCTATTGCCAGTTAACTTTTCAACCCTATAACCTTAAATATATACATAGGCAGCGGCTTGGCTAACTTGAAGGGTCCTATGTTCTTCTGCCTAAAATATCAATAATATTTAAGTGAACTTGAAATTTGATTAAAATATGTACCAAAATTATACAAAAATATTAGTACCCAAATTTTTGTTATCGTTAAAGTCAGAGCTTAGCTTTTTGTCTGGCCCTACCGTAAATGGCTAACATCACACAAGGTATCTACGTGTCTTATTTAAAACTTTATTTATTATAAAGGAACGCTTATGTAACACAGAAGATGAATTAGTTCTAGTGCCTAAATATTTGTTGGTCGCATTGGTTTTTGAAAATGTTGTATAGATAGCTGTTCACACTGTTCTTGATTGTAGCTATTAAATCGGTTTCGCTGCTGGTTGGTAATGATTCCGTATAATAAATTCCGCAAAGCAGTTCCGGTCCCAAAGGTAAAATAACGCTACGCTCTGTTGAGAGCTCCCAAAATTATAAAGCGAACCAGATTTTACTTTCCAAGTGATTCCATTACACGCTCAAACATTGCTCGAAATACCATCCTCGAGTTTTTTTGCCAAGATTATAAGTCTTTTTACAATAAAAGCTTCAATGTGAAGCAAAATTGGCTTGTGCATTACAGTTGAATTTCTAAAATTGTTGACGGAATAGTGTTATATATCAGCTGTGTACTAAACGTTGTATTTTATTGTAATTCACATTAGGCTTCGGTCACAGTGGCACGTGTACAAGGCACAAGCCGTTATATATTTGATAATGCTAATATTTATCATTTGTTGTTAACTCTGAATGGGCAGCAGTCAAAATAACGGAATGAAATAGGTTTATGTCCACAATCTTTAAAAATTTACAATTCAATATATTGTTCGCGGAAAAGCACTTTATAAAACAAGATATGACCTTATATTACACGTGGCTTTAATGGTCGTACGATTTGTAAAATGGTAAGAAATCACTTGTCGGTTCTAGCGTATGTAAACACTGGATAATTACGTAAGTAGTCCAAATAGAAAGAAATGTAAATTAACATTTAACACATGAAGTCGTGTTTATATTTATGAACAAAAGGTCTTTATGATCGTTGTTAAATCCAACAATTTATTACTTATTGTGTATCCGTGCAGTTGTCAGTGGCAGAGATCGCATAACAGTTATGGTAATTTCCCCACACCCGTCCCGTAGTGCGACAACCCCACAACCATTGTACGCCCCTTCGCACCGGACTGATGAGCTTATTTATGAGTTCATACAAAAATGGTGTCACTAGAATATGCCATCCACGCAATCAAATACAATATAACGCGAAATGACAACGTTTATCGGTTTATTTTTATTTTTAATATGATTCGATTTCATTTAATGACGACACTAATTCATTATATATTGTACATGCGCAAAATTACTTCCTGAAGGCACGTTAGTAGTAAGTATCAAAGAAAACTCAAAGCTCGTCAGTCGTAAAGCGAAGTAGATTACTTAGGGACTTGTTCAACACATTCTCGACTCTGACGAGTTTCCGAGCACTGTCGGCTAAACGAAGCGCGAAAGTCGGGACTAAGCATGATTAAGTGCCGCCACCGTATCACTAACTTGAACGTGGAAATTTGTGCGCTGTTAATTTCCTTATGACATTCTATTTAATTATCTAAAACTTAATTCAATCTAACGAAAATGTCCTCGGGATCTTTTGTATCGTAATGTTTCAGTTTATGAGAAAATTAGTATTTTAAATTATTATTTCTAATCGCAGGCTGCTGTAAAATGTGCTTCCTCGCCTCGTACCAATGCATTGTCGGCGAAGTCTCGATTACCATTGGCAGCCCTGGCGGCAGACACGACTCGTAATCATCCACCAAACAACGTCAACTCTCATGTAAGTAACTTTAAGATTATGTATCTATATGAAGTAGAAATACTAATACATTTGCATGTTACTTTGTAATATTAATGCTACATATCTCCGAACTTATATCACACACGCTTATAAAAGGAGTGATATATTAAGGAGAAACATTTTGGATTCTGTTTAATCTAAACAATACACGTTCTGTAAAGTACTAATACAAAGGTAATAATTAACCATAAATATAAATCAATGAAAGTTGCTGTAAATAAATCTTTGTACATATTTAATTCCAATGCTGCAATGTTCAATTCGAGATCTGTTTAAAATTTTGTAGCACGGTCTCGCAAATCGAAATTTAATTTATTCAAGCAGTCAAGCCGCGGACGTTTCTGTCCAATGTTTAAACTGTTTAATTGACCGCCATGAAAGCTTTATTTGCTTAAATGCCATTGACTGCTGCCATTTCAGTCTGGAATTTCTAATGGTGATTTTAACGTTCCAGAAATAGTTTCCTGGTTATTTTCAGCTTAATTGTAAAACGATATTTAACTTATACAAGAACACTAGAATGTTTTAGGTTTAGTAACTAATAGTATCTTCTATCCGTCTACTATAAAATATTTTCAAGTCATTTCTATCTGTTCACTATAAATAAGTTCACTATTCCGGTTAAAAAGGAATGTGAGCAGTTTACCCTCTGCGGTCCCCCGAGCATTTCGACAGTTCACCGCTAGCCAAGATATGTCGCAATCCCATCCAATTTGCCTCCTGTTCTCTGTGCTTTTGCTCGGATAAAGCGAAAAATCTTATTCCACTTGCTCCGAACAAAAAGTAAATACTGCCGACTTCAACGTAAATAAAACATTCGGACCGGAAGACAGCAGTTTATATGAACCAACCGAAATCTAGGATTTATTTCTCTTTGGTCGATATATTATTTAATTCGCGTACATGGAATGTCTAAACTATATCTGTCTTTAATTGAAATTGTCAAATAAAACTTTTATAATATTGCGCTATGTGTAGTCTAATAATTAATTAATTGAATAAAAATAAGTTTGTTTGCGAATAGAAGAAATAGTATCTCGAAGTCTATTAGGAGGTCATTTGTTTGACTTAGGGTTTTATATTTACAATCAATCATCTTCTTTATTTAAATTTGAATATTTAATATCCTCCGATTGATGGAAATTCAATATCATGAATCTCTTCTCGTGGGTATCGTAAAAGACGAAAAGTAGAGCGTATTGAAAGTCAGCACATATTCACCAGTCAGTACCACCATCCTACCCTATTATGCCCCGAAGCAGTCATACATTCCGTATTGAAGGGTGAGTCAGCCGTTGTACAATACAATTGAGACTTCGACTTCATGTCTCAAGGTAATATTTCACGGCTCCTATGACCGCTTTACACCGACTAGATTGAGCTCATTCACCCATCTACGCAATAATAAAAAAAACATTTCATTGTAGTAGTTCTTTATATAAACTATCTTTGAAAAACTAGTTTATGAAAGACTTAATAAAAATCGTAAACTTTATTAATGTTGTTTTTGTATCCTTGTTCACAACTGTATACGAACTTTATCAACTATAAAGTTAAAACGCTAACTGGATAGTTGAGAGAGTAGCAAGCACGACCGTTGGCACAAACTAGCTATGTTCTGAACGATGAAGCACGTCTGTGGTGTAGGCTAATAGCTCCTCGCAGATTCAATTTAGCGTCGAATAGAATATAGTCTCCCGGTGCGACGTGCACGATCATTAAGTTACGCCCTCGTCTCCCACTAGGAACCAGTAAAATTTACTTCAAACTCCTGTCGCTTTTAAGCTTCTAACATGAATTAATTTAATTACTTTTCAATTATAATAGTAATGGAGAGATGCCAAGCTTACCTTTAATGACGTAATATCTCTCCGAAATGGTTTTTACGATTGCTTGGGTAAATAAGAGTATATTGGTAACCGATGAAAAAATATCATTTCTGTTGTCATTCAAAACCTGCACTAAAGTTCATGCTAGGAACTATTAAATTATAGTTGGTGAATGTAATTCCTTTAGATAATAATAGTATGTATTCTTACTGTATTGCCTTTGGCAAACCTGGCGTATCGCCATCGAAACGACAGGCCGTATTGCCACTGCCAAATATTTTTTACCTGTCCGTTTCGCCCGATATTGCACTTTGCTTACGTTCGAACGGTTGTCCCACCCCACTTCATATTGATTCCGAAAAACGGATTTTTTTATTTACGTTTATATGACAGCTACTACTTATTGGTGGTAGGACCCCTTGTAAGTCCGCGCGAGTAGGTACCACCACCCTGCCTATTTCTGCCGTGAAGGAGTAATGCGTTTCGGTCTGAAAGGTAGGGCAACCGTTGTAACTATACTGAGATCTTAGAACTTATATCTCAAGGTGGGTGGCGCATTTATGTTGTAGATGTCTATGGGCTCCAGTAACCACTTAACACCAAGTGGGCTGTGAGCTCGTCCACCCATCTAAGCAATATTAAATAAATAAAAAGCTAATTTCACAACTCCAAATTATACATACAAGGGGATATAACATAATTCAGTATTTAGAAAGTTTGAGAGGGAAATGGATTTAAAAGAAATTAAAACATTATTGAGTTATTTTACGAACTAGAAGGCGTTCTGGAACAACGGAGTATTTTGTTCATAAAATTGTCAATAAATTTTCTTCATATTAAAAATAAATAAAGGTGAGGTAAATAAAAGACAGTTGAATTAATTTCATATTTTAATTTTAACATGTTTTAGATCCTTAATTGAGGGTTACTATTTAAAGCTATTACTTATATTGAAAACATTTGATTTTTATGTTAAATTAATCGTAAATAATTTATATTTAAAAATAAAGATTTTCACCCAAAAACTACCATATTTGGTACAAATAATTTCGAATCGAAGATATCGTTTTATCAATATTTGGATATTTATTTTTAAAATGAATTGGCAACCTGTCACTAAATTATTAAATTATTATCGTTATTATAAAAACCTACATAGATAATATTAGAATCATGTGACAGGCACATGTTTCGCAAAATGTGATCCAAACTTTTCTGTTTATATGAAATCTCAACTCAAACGTTCACAAAGTTTATCTTAGTTGAATAAAATATCAAATAGTTTCATAGACATTATGAGATATGTTAATTTTGATCTCGCCATTAAAATATTGCCTAACTTATAATTTAACGAAAAAGCTTATAGCTAAGATAATTAATAAAAGTATTACACGATTCTATTTTAATATAAAAAAGAGTATCCGGCTATGGAATGAGCTCCCCTCCACGGTGTTTCCCGAGCGCTATGACATGTCCTTCTTCAAACGAGGCTTGTGGAGAGTATTAAGCGGTAGGCAGCGGCTTGGCTCTGCCCCTGGCATTGCTGAAGTCCATGGGCGACGGTAACCAATCACCATCAGGTGGGCTGTATGCTCGTCTGCCTACAAGGGTAATAAAAAAAAAGAGTAAGTAAATCGAAACGTATAAAAAACGAAATGAAATGAACATTTTATTTCGGTTGGATACACACAGCTCGTTCGGCGGGATTTCTTTTCCCATTATCCGTTGTTTATTGAGAAGTCTGTATACTTTACGCCGACACGTTCGTACCGAAAGTAAATATAATATCAAACAAGTTTATTATAAGAATATTGTTTTCCTGATAAATTTGCGAGAATAATAAGTGTTCCGACAATAATCATAATTTTGTAAACTTCAGTGGACCGCGTTTGTTGTAACTACAAGCAGGGTTTCGTGATCATGAAATATAAATATGCTTACTACGTGTATAAACAGTTACTCATAATATTTTGGCGATTATAAATACATGTATTCAATGGGATTGCATTACAAAACCACTTTAATGAAAAACCTAATAATACCGGTGGTAGATTCTGTTGCGATTCCGCCCATTCCCGTTACTGCCGCGAAGCTACCGTCAGTTTCAGTTTGATGCGCTAAGTATACATGATTAAATTGTAACTGAAACTTTAATCCAAGGTTTGAGTTAGGTACCTACCTACCTGAGCGAACTCACAAGCCACCTTACCACTAGTGGTTACGTAAATGATAATTTATTACAGATTTGATTTTTTTTCCTATATTTTATGTTATTTAAAAGTAAGCGCTTCATATAAAAAAATTCGTACCTGTCTGCGGCATTCGAAACCCAGCGCAATTACTTCGCTGGGTACGAATGCACCAAGTGCCTTATCTTTTAGACCACGTCGACTTCAAACAACCATAAAAAAACATATTAAGGGTAAAAACCATCTCTCCATTTTACTGGCATGGGAAATCCCATAAAATCGGGTGAAAATCGTGCAAACACCGACGGAAAAACATTTACGCTGTAAACGTTATCTCTAAGTAAATCGTATTGTTTTCCAATAACGTGTTGTACTAACAGCTGCCTTTCATGAAAAACCGTGACCGTGTTATTAAAATGACAATTAACAACGTTGCAAAAGTTAAGTGTTATTGGAATCCAAACAATGTAGTACAAAAATGAATAATTTTATATTCAACTTACCGTTTTTAAAATATCTTTAAATCGATATATTAGTTTGGTAGTTTACATAATATAGGTACATATAATACTTTATTATGATAAGTAACGATTGACTAATAAGTGGATTTGGTGAAAATTATGATTTAATTTTTGTATAATCTGTATATATAACCTGTTATTCAAACGAGTATAATAGCGAAGATAAAAATAAAACAATTTTAACCGTAGTAGTGAAAATATATTTAAAGCAATCGGCTATTTTAAATCAATATTAATATGTTAATGCGAATAGATTGATATCTTAATAATCGAATCAAATAGATATTAATACGTCGATTCGACAGAATTAATTGGACTCGAGAATGGTTGTTGCGAAATATAATTTAAAAATAATGTCGAGGAACTTTAGAACGCAACTCGATCGTCAATAAAATACGTGTTTGACGTGTCAAGTATCATTACAAATTATTATCGCACAGCATTCAAAGACAATTTGTTGGACAGCAGAATATACTAATAATATAACCGTCGAATAAATTGTAAATGAGAGCAAATAATTAATTTTAATTATGATAAAACTTGCGTGCTGTAATTGGAACGTTGACGCCGTATGCTGTCGGCGACTAACAAGTGCTGCGGCGTGCTGCCACATAAATTATGTAACACGTCACTTAACGACATCGCATCGGTCTATGTTGCTGTTTGCGATACACATCAGACGTTACATTTTCATAATCATGAATCAAATTAAAGTATCCTTATTTCTGTAGTAATAGTCAAGTTGCAATATAAATTATAAAACGAATTATTTTTAGTATCCATTACAAAAAAAAAAAAAGAACAATCCGTGCACAATACAGAGCGACTGGTCATGAAAAATGTAATTGAATAATTTAGGTGGTCGGTCACGTTTCGCCGCCATATGGACTTCTCATGAATAAGTTCGGCTCGCGGTCGTTGTATCAATTAGCGGTTGTGTCGCTGGTCGAGAATGGCCGCCTCCCACCCACCAATGTATAGCGACGGTCGACCGGAACAATTCAATACGTTAACCATAAAGAAGCCACTCAGCTCCGTGGTACATATTTGTAAACGAAAAATATAACGATAGATGACATAGTTATTTAAAAATAGAATAAGTACAAAACAACAATTGGTATATAGACACCTGATGCTTGGAAGAAATGGTCTGCTGATTTAACGAACTGAGAGACTAAACATAGCGCAGGTAGACTAAGAAATAATTGAATTTCGCAACGGACCCTAACTGGAGGTGATTGACTCATGGCCGAGTGTGATGAAAGGATATAAGGGGGACCATTGCCGAGAATTACCCTGAATTCAAGAATATACTCTAACAGCAGACTAATTTAGAATTAAAGGACCGAATTAATCTTATTTGTAAAGCAATCTCAAAATTTAATCATACAATCATAGTTTAATTTATAATTAACCACAACTCAAAGTCTATACCCCTTGTTCACGTGTCAACAATGTAAACATCATTAAAGTAAATGAAACTAGTTGAGCGTAAATAGACGTGAACTAATTATGTGGCAACATAACTTAGTACAACCCGTAAAGACAATATATCCAGGGATTACAAGGATCTCGTTCGCCTACGCGCCGCGGATTAAATTGATATGTGCGACTCCGCTTGACTCGTTTATTCACGTAAAGGGTCGGAAAGCAATCCCCTTTATTAGAATGGGGACATAATCGCGTGCGTATGTTTTATTGTCTATTGCGGGGAACGAAACCATTCAAACTTTCATTGTTTTCCTCAAGACGACTACTTAAGATGCTGTTAAAGAGGGGTTGGCGTAATATTTGAATAATATTATTGTAATGATCCCTTTACGGAGCTCCCAAATAAAATAAAATGTGATCGTTTGGTAGCAAAAATACGAATGACCATTATTTCCAAGATTTTACAGAAGCTAACGACTATTTAAAGATCTGAGAATCAAATAGAACTAAAACTCTCATTTACTTTGTGATTTAAAGAAATATATTATTTTCTGTTTGATTAACTAAATGCAATCTAAATTATTGAATTAAGGCATGTTAGTAAAATCGCGTTTTTTAATGATTAAAGACAGTTGTGTAAAAACTGTGGCGCCGAGAGCCTACAAAGACCTACATATTCTATGTATCTGTAATGTCATTTTTCTGGCTCGAAAAACCGAGGAATAGGGTAAACTATATTCCAACGTAATCAAGATTTCGACCTCATGAGAGACTTCGATTACAATCGTTTAAACATATTGTGGGCTGAAGCTAGTCTACTCAGCTACTCCAAAAAAGGAACGTATAATCTGTTCCATAAAAAGCAATAACAATATGGAAGTTCATTGGACAAGGGCGGCCGGGAGTTATCCATTTACACAAAGTTTAGGTACTCGTTTTATATTCTTTTAGCCTCTCGAAAAATCGTTTCTCTCCGAATATCACGGTTGCTTCAGCGCGCCTCTTTCGAACCTTGCCGTAAAATAGACGCGAAATGTGATAAATGGAAAACTCTTTTTATTGTTAGGACCCCGGGTACGTTGTGTTACGGGTCGGGTCTTCTCGTCAATCGCGCCCTCGCTTTTGGCCCGTCTTATCAAGTTTTCTTACATCCTAGTTACCGCTCAATTTTGTGATCCTCACGTAAAAGCTTTCCATTTACTCTTTCTCTTTAACAATAGATTTATGTTTAGCCTTTAAAATCGTTAAGATCTTATTTCCACAATCTGTTTCTCGGAAGTTTTTTCTTACGGCCATCTTAATTAAAAGACGTAAGTATCCATAGTTATTTGACTTTTAAAATAATCACGCAGGGCATTACGCTGCTTCAAGACGCTGGAACGTCTGACGACAGTGGACGAGCATCAGAGAGACTCACTGGTAGTTCAGTGGCACCACGAGACCCCGATTCATCTCGTGATCGTCTAAGTGACGTAAGTAATTGTGTTAAGAAACTCAAAAATATTCGTTTAATATAATCCAATATTTGTACTAACGTAAAGTATTCTATATAATTATTATTTTTCTGTAGAAGTGAACGCTGAACTGTTAAACTAAATTATTTTGAATATTGTACAACGATTCGAAAGTATCTTTACCATGTTATTACGTGAAAGTCTCACACAGAGTACTTGACAAGCTTGTTCCATAGCATTGAACGTACTTTGTTTGCAAACGACATCGCCGTTCAGACCTCAAACGATGCATGTACGAAACGATTTCACTCAATGTTGTGGTTGTACTGAATGTTAGATTGTGAAACCAATACTATATGTGGTCTTCTGTTGCGTTGCAAAATCCGTTTCCCATTTTTCTTATTCATAAGTTTCCCGTTATTTATACTCAGTAATAAATAATATAATGCATTATAATCGTTTTAAATTCATGATTATCTTCTGAATACTTCAAAAAGATTGATTGATAGAGAAAAATGGGAGACACCTCACCTGCCCTTATCACTGTCGTCCACTCATATGTTCGCTTTCTTTCTCCTGCCTACAGGCCAGTAGCCGCTGTAGTTCCGGAAAAGGCTATATCGTGAGTATTATTGCTTTACCTACCTTACATACCTTAGGTTCTTTGCCAACACGCTTATCTTTGTTGTTTTATAGTCTTTCCGTACACTTAAAACAAAGTAAACCAAATAAAATCATAGAATACGTATTAATACTGAAATTTTCGTGTAAATACATAAATGTAAATACTGTAAAAAAATATTTTCTGATTAGATTAGAATGCAATCATAGATATCAATCTTAAACTGTACCAAATGATAATTTGTATCATGAACGGTTATATTTCTGTAATGCGGTGTGCAAATTTACCCAGATCACGCAGCACACATACAGGCTGCTCGATATTCGGGTCGTATCGCGGCTAAATCACGAAATTTGTCGAAGCGGTGCCGCTCTGTACTACATAACATTACCTGAGCCCGCCCTGAATACTTCATGCTCTGTATTTATTTGAAATTGTAATATCTCAACCTGATCCCCTGTTGTTTCCCCAGGCGCGAACTTACCTCGTAAATAACCTGTAACGTATTCGTCGATTTATGTTACGATAATAGTCTCCTTCTCCCGTATGAATTGAACTTTCACGAGGCTGACGCACATATCACTGTCGAATGTTATTTTATCATGGGATTCCTTGTTTTCGATTTCATTTATATTAAAATATGTCGATTACTGTCATAAATTCTAAAATTAGCTGTCATCATTTAATAAGGACTAATTATAGTTTACGTTGATAATAATTATTATCACATGAAGCTGCCACATGATAAAAGGAATATTTTGGGATGGCATGTATTTTAAACGGAAATGAAAACTCATATTTTTTGTCATTAAATTATACATAAATAATAAACTAATAAACTCATTATATTAAATGTAGTGGATGATACCTTGTGCATGTGATTTAAATGGTATTTGCGAAAAGTTACTAATATCTGTATTTTCTTCTTTCACAGTGTGATAGTGAAGGCGAGGATGACAAGGCAAGTACATTAGTTATTTATTTATCTTTTAATTCTTCAAACTCCCAAAGATGCGGATTATTATGATCATAAATTAATAACTGCCTAAATGAATTTCACCAATAGTCTCATAAATTTTGTGAGCTCCAGAAGTTTCGGATTCAGGAAAACATTTGACTTTTTATTAATCTATTTCATCTGTTTAAATAAATAACATCGAAAAGACTTCGGTCCTTAATTAACTTAATATTATGAATTTCTTACTGCTTCGTAGCTCAATCGTAGCGACATATAACACTACCGTATATATACTGTGATCCAGTGGGGGTTTGCCTTTGTATTCATATTGTACACGCTCTAGGGGCTCAACTAACCCGTCAACAGGTTGTGAAATGTGAGTTAAAAGGGGCCTGAATTTGAGCGTACAACTCTCTGACGCGTGACGAGGTGGCAAAGGGCGCTGATTACGAGGCCTCGCTCTGTTACCGTAATTACTAGATTGGCGCAGTCGGGAAGTGCCCATAATTAAACGCATTACGCCGTCTTTAACCTAACTACGGTGTGCTTAAAACGACCAAAGGTCGCTGTAAATTATTATAATAAACAACAAACACGTTTATTTGCTTACTTAAAAATATTGTTTTTCTATTTAAAATGTAGAAAACCAGTGTTATGTTGAATCAAAATGAAAAATAAGCAAAATTGATTATTAAAATATATCTAGATGTTTATATAATGACAATTAATGCGAACCTTTACAACATAGATGGAAAGGATGTATAAAATGAACTCGAAAACATTTAATGGTAAAAATCGTACAAATCCTACAGATAAAACACTGATAGTATTGTTCGTAGCCCGTAGCCTCACTCTTCCACGTTCCCCCTAATCTAATTATATGACCGTTTCGCTGCCGACTTGGTCTGAAACAGCCCGCCCTCAATTCTACTCAATTTTCTTCACTGAGAGCGAACTAACGTAAAACAATTTTACTAAACGATCCGTGCTTTGAAAAGAATTTGAGAATAAGTGTGATATACATTATAAAAGTAGTACTTCATGGTCCAATATTTTAGGATTATACATAGTTCCATTTAGCCTATAGAGCAGAAGGAATGGTGATGCTATATTTTGCGATTTTATTGATTGATAATTTTATGATTTCTTTGTATTAAGTAAGAAGTAACTTTAGTTGATAATGACAAAAAGCATAAACTGGTTTAGTCACAATGATTCAAACAGATTATGTTTACTAAGATTACACGATAAAGATTATGTTTACTAAGATTACACGATAAAAACTTTTACCCCGTTGAGTTAAAGATGATAAACGAATTATACTATGCGTTCATGTTAAACGTAATCAAATAGGAAGTTAAGCGGCACAATAATGTCGGTTAATGGATATCTGAAAAGGAAATCAGTCTAAACTTGATGTTGTGCCGTTGTCGATTAATTAAATTATCCCGAGAGAAGTTAGCTCCCGCTCGAGTCGTATCGCTCTATATGAAGCTCTGGCGGGAGTGTGAGCGGTAGTAGTGTCTGCCAAAGCTCGCTACACTTAGCAAGAGAACGCCACTAACTCGATCTGATTCCACTTAAGCTATTTGCACTCCGAGTTCAATTATACCTCCACTTTGATATGCAAATCCTATCGCTTCGGTATAATTACATAGACGCTTCCGTAGAATCATTTCGAATGTCAACTAACTCTGCTTTATGTTAATTATTGTAACGTTTAACAAAATCGTGTTTTGATTCCAAGTTTTCAAGTAGAATTTTGAATAACATATTACCTTTAAATATTAGATGAGAACACTTTTAGCTCTAGGTATTGATGTAAATATTCAAAGATACCATTTTAATAATGTTTGCGTGCAACTGTAATGAAGTAAAGCACCTAATTAATTCCGTTCCATTTTTATCGATGGACTATAGAAACTAAACAATGGAAAAAAGCTAATTCAATACAGATATTAGGGTTTCACGCGTTTTATTTTATGACATTGAACTGCAGTTATGTTTTATTTTTGTTTGATTAACTTTCAGGCTCATTCTCAAACCGATCTCGAATCTTGTTAGCTTATAATGATTATTGTATAATTATTATTATTTCTCGGATCATGTAAGCGAAACTACGAATAGACAGGAGAACCGGTTCGGCACGCCTCCAATCACTCCATAAAGCCTATTGAGATCTACAGACATTGTTACTTAAATTTATGACTAATGCTTTCTAAATACTATAAAACTTTAAAATTATTATGAATCAACGTTTCCACAGCAATCCTCATAATGTGATACAAATTTGATTATTCAAAGCAGATAAAACAATAAAACTTGTCAGTCGTAATTTGTCTGCACGGACAGCGACGAATAGAAACGTAACATTAGTATTCTCGTATTTAATGATTCAATAAATATCATTCATGACCGTTTCAATGTAAATGCAATTAATTAAAATTACGGTCACAAATTAAACGTGACCTGACTCGAAACTCTCGTCTGAATAACCAACCGCATAATATTTATGAAAAAATCGTATACGAATCACGATTGAATTATGTGAATGAAAATAGATATTAAAAGTACGTTAACGTTCTCACAGTATAACGGTGATTAACGAAGATATTTTATTAGTGGACATTTGTAAATTTTTGAATAAGTTTAAAAAAAAAAAAAGTGAAATTTCATTGTTGATTACGTCAGAACATGAAACACGAATGTACTTTACCCGAATAGTTTAATCGATTTAGACACTTCATAAATTACACGAATTACGCAACACGATCAGCAGGGTCGTATTATACAAATTGCTCGTGTATACTCATCATCATTCATCAGGTGGGCATATCACTTCTGGTCGATTTGAGCGGGCGCGGGTGGTGGCTCACAATCTGTGCCCAGAAGGGAGATCTGCCACATTAATAAGTTCATGAATACAGATCACATTTTTATTTCCATTAATACGTTCAAAAGTGATTATAATACTGCCTTGATATCGTAAAACCGGTAATCTTTATCATTTTATCAATCAAATCTGGTCTTTTGATTTTATCTTTAGATTAAATCTATATATTAATACGTGAAGCAAAAACTTTGTATCCCTTTTTACGAAAATTGCGCGGACAGAGGAGTATGAAATTTTCCACACTTAATTATAGAGAAGAAGTGCACAATGCTAATATATTTTTTAAATAATGCATAAAAGATACATTAAATTAATAAAGAAAACATTACACACACTACATACCATGTATTTGACGCACACACGCATGCATACTATTTATTGTCAAACTTTTGTTCTTGGCGTCTGTTGTCAAATTGAGAATAGATTAAATATTGTTTGCCTTTGTTAATATTTTTTATAGTGTAGTCTTGGCGAAATTTGTGATTATAGAAGTATAAAATACAATCATAATAGTGTACAAANATTGAGAATAGATTAAATATTGTTTGCCTTTGTTAATATTTTTTATAGTGTAGTCTTGGCGAAATTTGTGATTATAGAAGTATAAAATACAATCATAATAGTGTACAAACTTACAATTCCAATTAATTATAGTCGAATTTCGACTACTGCGGGACCACTAGTAAGAATTAATATGCATCCCCTAGTGTCACGATATTTATTAAAGAAACATGGTCCTTAAAAGGCATTTAAATTGTTACTCTTTATGTAGGCTAAGGTAGAATGAAATGAATAAAATATTTTCCGTAGCTGCATTGGCGAGCGCCGCTTTGCGGAATTTACCTTACGCAAACCTGACTCGCTTAATTGAAAGAGCTTCTTTCGTTTGCTGTAATATTTTATGGCAGAGAGTCAAGCCGCAACAGTTTTAAGAAAAATCGAATACTTTCTTGCACCTTTTCAAATTGAGTTTAATATATTTAGTTCGTGTACAATTTCAACATAATTTTTTAAATTGAAGTAGAATAACAGTAACTGTAAATATCAAAGTATTATTTGTCTATTTTACTTTTTAATGTACCAATTAGATTGTAATAAAGACCAACATCATCTTTGTTGCGAATTTTAATGGAACTATCCTTATTACATCCTATTATTACAGTTATAAATAGATGGCAAAAATATCTATTTCCATTTAAACTTTAAACTATGCTAACTAATTTCGAAATACGAAAGCTTAAGGGTTTCTCTTTATTTTCATTTGAATTTTTTTTTTGAAAAGATAGTTAAGTGAACACACCGGAAATTGTATAAAAATCTCCTTAGGTGAAATGAGTTGAATAATATTTTTGTTCAATAAATCTCTACGTGCTGATATAGTATCATGAACTACCGAAGCCATCATAAATACTTGGCTAAATATATTTTCATGTTGTATGTACTTAATACTTGTACATTTTTGTGTTACTATTAAAATTCAAATATACAACATAACTTCGTGATTAACATAATGTTTCTGAAATGCTCTACTTTTGTCTTGTAAACGAGCATAAAGTGAAAGAACAAATTGCGAGTTTCCCCAGTATTTTCCTCGCTCGGAAAAATATATGTTTTATTAAAGCTCGGCATTTCCGAGAGCAGAGCAACCCTCGGGCCGGGGGTGGTTCGTGGAGGAGTGGGATGAGTTCGGCGGCGCGCCAGTGTATAACAGACAGTAGAGGGATATAAAACATATTTACGCGCCTATAAAGTACTCTCGTACGCTCGCTCTCCACCATTTTCTTTTGTTCCTCGCTAGCAGCCAATGATAATGCTTTCTCCCGTTTGGTTAAACTTATTTCGGTGTCGTCTTATCTGGCTTTTCTTCGGCACTTTTATTTATAACCGAAGCGAAGTGGTGAGACGTTACGACCTTAACTAAATGATTTTGGTATTACTTTTTATACTGTGTCATTTTCTTGCTTTGAACAATTTCGTAGACTATGTAGGATTTTATGTGATTTATAATAAAACAGATTCGCAAGATAAGCTTTTTTGTATAGATAGAATGTCGTATTTTATTTCACTCGAGATTCAGATTTGTTCTATCCGTACATTTTAAAAGTACACA